AGCCTAAGGGCTGTGTGTTTGCTGCCAATATCAACACAGTCCCGGGGCTCCTGTTCTTTTCTGCTGGAGTTTTCTTGGGACATGGAAGGGGGGGGGGGGGCGGTGGGAGGGGGTGTGAAAAGCCTCCGAGGATTGTGTTTTGTTTTGCTTTGTGCTTTTTTTTCCTTCCTGTTTTTGGCTCATACAGCAAGTCCATGGTAAACATTGGGCAATGTACTTGACCGCACGATTCCTCAATTTCCTCATTAGCAACGCTGTCTTGTTTATGAGGAGTTTTGAAATTCTTTGCAAGTGCACAGAATGCGGTGTGGCGAGCCGGCGCAGATATCTTATTTCCAGCCCACTCGATGCCTCTCCGCAGGGGAGACCACCTGCATCAGGCGCACTTGGAGTGATTGTTCACACGCAGGTCCCTACGCCCACCCCAAACCTTCTGAATTAGCATCTGTGGGGGGGGGGGGCGGTGTGGCCCCAAATCTCCATGGTAAACAAGCTTCCTGGTGATTCTATTCACTCTGAGTAGCTGTTTTCTGGGGAGTCCGAGGTAGAGCCAAGCACCTAAAAATCCCCTGGTATCTCCCAGGGTTTTTTGGATGGACCCAGTCTGGACCATTTTCCCCAGAGCTACTGTGTAGTGGCATTGAGCAATTCATTTAAAGGCCATTTGAAGCTTATTTGGCTAATCCCTGACCTTGAAATGTATGCAATCTGGTAGGAGCTTGAGGACTAGCGGTTCGCTGTCAGGGTGGGGGTGAAATTAACAGACGTCCAAGAATGAAAGAACTGAGCCAATGAGCATGAGTCCCCCTGCTTCGGGTTTGATACTGGACTTCCCCTAGGAACCCAAGGCTGAGGTCCCGGTCTTGATTTGGCCACTGACTCAACTTTGACCTTGGGGAAACCATTTAATCTTTCTGCACAGTTTCCCCCTTAACAAGATGTACTTTCTCCATCCTCATGAGACATGTGTCAGGAGGAGCCGGTCAGTTTACTCAGAAGGGATGTTTCGTTACGGTAACCGGATGTTCTACAACCAGATGTACATCAGGAGGCAGGGATAGCCTCCGGTCACGGATTAGTAACTGCGAGATTGTCCTGACCGAAGAGGATCAAGAAGCTGTCCAGTCCCTCCCTTTGTGTTGAGATCGGAAACCTCAGAGAAAAGAGTGCGCAGGCTTATGGATTTGTGGGCTAACATAGTAGTGTCTACAAAGATAATGCAGGGACGGCAGACACAGGCAGGATTCCTGTTTCTGTGCTCAGGAACCTGGAGAGCGAAAGGCCGCTGTTCACCCCCAGTTTTGCCCTTGTCTGCCCTGGACGGGTGGGATTCTATTGAATCTCAGTTAGGACACCTGCCACCTCTCCTTGGACTTGGAGCTTGAGACCTGTAGGCGTTTTCTGTTGCTGTCGAACACATTACCACACACACAACATACAGCACACAACTATTACCTCACTGCTTCTGTGGCTCAGAAGTCCAGGCGTGGCTTGCTGGGGTCTTTTGCTTAGTGTCTCATGAGGCGGAAATCATTTTGTACAGTATTTTGTACAGTAGCCAAAAGATGGAAACAAGCAGATGTTTGTCAACATGTGAATAACAAACTGGCATATACATACAATGGACTGTTCTTTTTAAAAATATTTTTATTGATTTCGGAGAGGAAGGGAGAGGGAGGGAGAAATAGAAACATCAATGATGAGAGAGAACCATTGACCGGCTTCTCCCGCACGCCCCCCACATGGGACCGAGCCCACAACTCGGGCATGTGCCCTTGACCAGAATCGAACCTGGGACCCTTCAGTCCACAGGCCGATGCTCTATCCCCTGAGCCAAACTGGCCAGGGCTACAATGGACTGTTTTTCAACCTTAGAAAGGAAGGAAATTCTGACCCATGATACAACACGGACCTGGAAACGGATATGCTACATGAAATATGGCAGTCAGAAAGGACAAATAGTGTATGATTCCTCCTACGTGAAGTCCCTAGCGTAGTCACATTCACCAAGACAGGAAGTAGGATGGTGGTGGCAGGGACAGGAGAGGGTGGGAGTTGGTGACCAATGGGCACAAAATTCCAGTTTGGAAAGACGGGAAGATCGAGATGGGTGGTGGCGATGGTTGCAGAAGAAGGTGAATATGCTTAATGCCACAGAACTGTGCACTTAACAGTGGTCAGCAGGACACATGGAATGTGCTGTATATTTTATCACAATAAAAAATTTAAAGAAAATGAACACGTAGATCACAAAACAGAAAATGTTACAAGCAGGCTGATCTGATGGAAGATGCGCAGCCTAGTTGGTAACCAAAGGAAAAAAATTAAAAATTTTATTTAAAAGAAGTACCATCTTGCCCGGCTGGCGTGACTCGGTGGTTGAGCGTCGACCTATGAACCAGGAGGTCACAGTTCAATTCCTGGTTAGGGCACATGCCCGAGTTGCAGGCTTGATCCCTAGTGTGGGGCATGCATGCAGCAGCTGATCAATGATTCTCTCTCATCTTTGATATTTGTATCCATCTCTCCTCCCTTCCTCTCTGAAATCAATAAGAATAAAAATATATTCAAAAATAAAAGAAGTACCATCTTTTAGTCTAACGGAATGATGAATGTTGTGTCTAACACAAAATCTGGAATATAATTATAGTCAGAACATATTTCATTTCTCTGCTGCTTCTTCCCCTTCTCCCTAAACAAAGATAAAGTCTTCATTTAATCTTTTTATCCCAGTGTTTTACACAAGTAGACAGGACTGCCTTTTAGAATGCTAGTTCCATTTTTTGAAAGTAAAACCTTTTTCCATGAGGCCCAAGTTGAGGTTCCAGTGTAAAGAAGGTATAAGAAGTATATTAAATGCAATCCTGAAATAGTTTATTATATCACAAAAAGGTATTTGGCTGCAAATATTAATTAGATGATTTCCCCTCAAAATGCCCTAGAGTTTGTAATAACAAGAGCTGTAAACTCTGAGCTGGTGCTGTGGCTGTGGCCTAAAACTGGTCTTATAACCAAGCCCCTTTACATTCCTGCTTCTAATAGGCCATGTGGGCACACACCTGCCTCCTTATTTCTTTGTTCTCACAATTTCCATGAGTCATGATTCTCTCTTGGCAACTCAATGAAGGCAATTAGAGTGAATCTTTTTGATGATCAGGAAGTGTAGTTAACAATACGTCTCATATTAATTGGTCAAACACGATGAGCCACGCATTATATTAAGCATGTTTCTGTCATTTCATTTAATCCTCATCTCCTTCTGAGACAAACGATGTGACTCTCTTTTTATTGGGGAGAAAATTGAGTTTCAGAGAGTTTTAATAGCTCACTCCACATCCTGGCTGGTAGAGCTAGGTCTCAAACCTCTGATCGTCCCACCACCACACCACACTGCGTCCAGGGACATAATTTATCTATCTCATAAGTATACAAGTGATATATAAGAACAAAATTGTAAATGTGACTTTGTAAAAAGAGCTCATTTTTAGTAAGATGGATCTACAAAGCCCTGGTAGCGGACTCGCAGTGATGTGGATGAAGAAACCACTGCAGGGTTGTTGTTTTTCCTCTCTGTCCTCACACTCATCCCATTTTTTTCTTTCTTTCTACTCAAATTGTATTTATAACTTGACCACTTCTAACTAAGACATAGCTCTTGATATTCCATATTAATTCAGGAGCATTATTTTTAGAGACAGAGGAAGGGGGGGAGGGAGGGAGGGAGGGAAGGAGAGAGAGAGAGAGAGAGAGAGAGAGAGAGAGAGAGAGAGAGAGAGAGGCATCGCTTTGTTGTTCCACTTATTCATGCTTTCATTGGTTGATTCGTGTATGCACCCTGACCAGGGATTGAACCCACAAACCTTTTACATCAGGACTATACTCTAATCAACTGACCTACCAGGCCAGGGCAGGAGATTTAAGTCAAAGTTTAGCTCTACAAACAAGCTGTTGTACATTCATAATAAAGTGCCTTCTGTTCCACGTCAAAGTGTAGATTTGCTTCCTGATAAGATGTATTATCTGAAGACCATCAATTTTTTTTTATTGTGATTCAGGTGCAAATAACAGGAAAGCATAGTTTTTCCCTATCTAGGCAAAAGAGGGGGGGTATTTCTAAAAAAGAATACTTTATGTAATGTTTTAAATGGCCATTGTTTTGCATTGTGATTTAGGAGAAAACAGATTATACACAGAATTCAGAGGCGTCGGCAGTGGTGCCCTGACTGACAGGGAAGCCCTGCCAGGGAATTTCCAGAGAATCCACACCAGGGCCAGGTCTTTGGAGACACTCGGTGCCCATCCCTGCCCCAGAAAATGAAAAACCGTGAAACCATAGATTTTCTGAAACATCCATGCAAATGCCAATTCTGAAAATAAATTTCTTTGCAAGAGTATATGCATGTCTGTTAAAAAAAAAAAAAGTAAGCCCTGATCGGTTTGGCTCAGTGGTTAGAGCGTCGGCCTGCGGACTCCAGGGTCCCAGGTTTGATTCCGGTCAAGGGCATATACCTTGGTTGCGGGCACATCCCCCCCAGTAGGGAGTGTGCAGGAGGCAGCTCATCGATGTTTCTCTCTCATCAATGTTTCTAACTCTCTGTCCCTCTCCCTTCCTCTCTGTAAAAAAAAATCAATAAAATATATTTTTTAAAAAAAGTAATGTCAAAAGAGAAACAAAAAACCAAACTTGTCTTTGTAATTCTGAGACCATTAAACAAATAGGAATATGTATGTCAAATGGATAAGTGGTTGTGAAAATATAAAGAAAATACACTTTTTAAATATCCGTTTCCCCAAGAGAAATTTAATTCTGAATTTTTGCTTTCAATTCTGAATTTCAAGTCAAAATATTATCAAAGTTTTCTCCAAAAGGAGTGTGAAAATAGACAAGAAACCAACTTGTTTGTGCACGTGTGCGCGCACGTGTGTGCACACACACATGCACACGACAATCTCCTTTCACCCTAAGCATTCTAAGCTCCATGTGCTTCTTCTGTTTTCAGAGCTCACACGTGTTTCAACCGCCTGGACCTCCCCCCGTACCCCTCGTTCTCCATGCTGTATGAGAAGCTCCTGACAGCGGTTGAAGAGACCAGCACCTTTGGACTTGAGTGACCGGAAGCCCAGTGCCCGGCTGCGTGGGGACAGGCGGTTGGTTGGGGAAGCTGCCCTCCCAGGATGGCCCACCACCGGGAGGGCCAGAGCGGGTTTCCATCCGAGTAACGCCTTCACTTGACAAGTCTAAGCCACATTTGGGGACTGGATCGCGGTGAGGAGTCCTCTCTGAAGGATGGGGGTGAGCTTGATGCCCAGGGGACAACCCAACAGTCTTTCAATCAGCAGGTCCTGACTGCCACGCTTCTTCCCATTCGTTACGTTCCAAGACCAAGATGAACCTGTGCGGATCAGCTCAAGGTCACTGTGCAGGGACTTGGGAGAATCTTGAAACTTAACCTTGAACGTGATTCAAGCCAAACCGCAGCCCTTGACCCGATCTCCAAATTAGTGCGAGTTCAATAATGGAATAAAAACACGTGTATTTCCCAAAAGTACTTTTGTGTGAGCCCCAAGTTATCACAGAATATTCCTTTTCTTGCTCATGTGTGCCTGCATGGTGTGCACGTAGGTTTCAGCTTCCACGGGACCCGAGTGGAAATGAAACCAAGTCAACATGAGGCAACTTTAAAGATTTGCAATAAGGTGGTCTATGACGATGGATATGCAAAGTGGTCTGTGTGTCATTATGGCTGGAGACAAACTGTTCTACAGTGAATTACTACCAACAGATTGTATGCTCTCTAATGCATGGAAACAATTTTAAATAACTAGCGATTAACTCACAGCATATCAGAAAAAAGTCCACGGTGAGTTCTGTTCATTTTTTTTATAGGTTCATGATATTTATGTTCTTTGCGGTGTATATAGGAACCCACCTGTCCTACTGTTCGTGCCGCCCAATCCATTTCCATGTTCCATGCTTACTTGGGCATCATGCTGGTAGGTATCCTTTTAAGCACTGTCCAGGGAACCAAAGGGCCTTTTATTTTTCTAAAGGTACAAAAAAATTCCCCGAAATATTTTGCACTGAATGTACCAAAGTCGAAGGGACGTTACAAGATGACTGACAGCAACTCCATCACTGGGCAAGTATAACAGGAAACAGCTTCGAAATTCAGACTTCTCCACAGTGCCATGTCTACCACTACAGGACTGTGCATCTAAGTAATAATTTTTTAAGACTCACGCTATGTGATAGTACGATATGCATTTATTTAAAATGCATTAGACTCTTCCATCCATCAAATACTTTACAGGATGGCATTTAATAAAGATATTTCGTACCCCACCCCCCTGCTTTTTATTTGTACAGCATCATGAAACGCCGGGCTCACTGAGGGAGCCATCAGCAACACCTAAGGGGTCAGCTCTCTTTAGTAACGAGAATTCCATCTCCCTCGTCCATGAAGACGTCACAAACGGAAACCCTCAGTACTCTTTCCAAGCCTGCATTTTCACCGATGCATAAATTCCTTATCAACATAAGGAAACAGGTCTTCTAGGATACCTCGGACATTGCATGACACCACTAATGTTACACTTGCTTAGTTTTCTCAGAGGGTGTCCTTCGTTTCTACTGCTTTCGGGTTTTTTCCACATCGTTGTTTATTTCTGGACGTATGGCCATAACTCATCAGAGGTTCAATGCAGCGAAGTTAAATGGTGAATAATAAAAGCGTTGGATTAACATTTGGTTTGCCAGCCTATGGTTTTACAGGCATTGCCCGACCACGTCTCTGAGCTATAAGAAGCCGTGGGAGCCTCGTTGGGGGATGTTGGCGGTCTTACACTTTGTAAAGGTCACGTGCTGGGTTTTGTAGGTTGGTTTTAAGAGCAGATTGCCCCCCTGTTGGGTGAGCTGCATTCACTGCTGGAGTCTCGAGAGGAAAGCCACTCAGGCTGCGTTCCTGCACTAGAGGCAGATGCTGCCGGGCGAGGAAATGTTCTGAAATAAAGACCTCAGAGCTCGCAGGTGGGGAAGGAAGGGGTACCTGTGTCCTGTCATTGGACCAGAAACTAAGGGAAGAGAAAAACTTTTAACTGGAACAATTAGTGTGTACTTACTGACCATGAATGTAAGTATTTTTAATTTTGCAAATTATTTTTACTTGTTGATATGTTTTCATTACAAGGGAAATCATATAATATACTTTATTTAAAAAACGACATTTTTAATGGTAATGTGATGTTTCAGAGCCGGCATTCTCTAAACAGCTGAAATTGAAGGTGGCATTTCTTTCAAAAATACATTCCTAGACCACGTGAGCTTTCATTTTGGTCTGTGACACTTGGTTACCATACTCCACATTATCAGGTAAAAGAAATTTGAAGTAAAGTGTATCTCTTTAATTATTTCTAAGAAATATATTTATTTGTTAGGGCATCCAACTTCTCGTATAACAGTATAAGCACCTAGCTGCTACTGTTCTCAGAATTGGGGATCCTCAAAGATGTACTTAGCCTATCAAAACACATGGTTACTGACCTTTTTTTTTTTTCACTAGTAAAACAAAAACTCCAATAATCACTTTCTAGAATATTAAATATGTCCACAGAATAATTTAGTCTTAAATATACTCTACAATTAGAAATATCCATATATTTTTTTCTTCTGGACTGTGAACTGGGTAACTCGCTGTATGGCCTTGTTCCTTTAAGAAGCTCTTAAGTGATACTCATACTGCCCCGTCTTATAGCATAAAAGACAGTCACGATGCATCATGTACGTACGCGAGAATCTCTGAGATGAGAGGAGAGGCACAGTGTTGGCATTCGCCCGTGTCAGCCACTGTGTCTGATCATGGAGCTGCAAATTCGAAATCCGCCCTTGAGAAGTTCATGGTCTAGAGGAGTAGACACCAAGGTTCAAAAAAGTCTTTTCAATAGGATTTGGTTTGTTCTACCATCAAGGGATGAGAAGAGAATGGTTTGCTCCATCTGGGAAGTCACTGAAGGCTTCATACATGGGCGCTACTGTAGCCGAGGCAGGAAGGGAGGAAGGTCACATAATGCCCTGCTGTTGGGGCTAAAGGCATGTCATAGCGTGTTGGTACTGGTCAAGTGCTGGAGCCCACGGTGCATTCATGCACAAGGGTTTAAAGTGTGCGTGTGGGGAGCTGAACCTGAAGGAACAACTGGAGGGTCTTCAAATTGTCCAAGCAATGCCCCAGTGAGATGTGGCCCTTTCCCAGTTCCTCTGGTCTGCACTCCAGTGTACCTTCCGCTTTCACTGTGAGAAATGCCAGTCCTGAGCCCAACCCGCTTCTGGGGTCGAAACATTTTTCTTGTGCAAAAACGAATGGATCTTGGTCAGAGAAGCGTGGTCATCATTTTCTAGCCGCTGTTGTGCTTATGACGACTTAGTAGAAATTCTGTAATAAGTGAAGGAAAATCGGTGTCACCTGCATAAGAATCCTTATGGCAAAACGGCGTTCAGATGATGAATGGCAATGGTCGCACCTGTTTGTGTCGCACTTTAGAGTGTCAGAGGACTTCCGGGGCATCATCTCTCCATCCTCACACACTTCGTGGGGTCGAAGGTATCACGCCCCATCTGGTTTGAGGCTGGTGTTCGTGGCTGGCTGGTGAGATGTTTCAGTACTTTATAGTTACAATTCTAGGTTTCGCCACCAGAGATGGAGAGGCTAATGTTTCTACCAGCATGTTTCGCTTTCAGTGAATTTTGCAAGATGATTCATCTACCAAAGGCTCACTTTTTCAAACACTCTAAAATGTGACGCCCTCAGAAAAGCCCATGAAGAAATGAGTACAGTACATCCCTGGAAAAAAACTCCCCATACGCTTAACAGTTGCATTTTACTATTTGTTATAAGAAATGAAAAACAGAATGCCCAATGTGATTGCTTTTGGTGGATTTATGTAGTATAGCAGTTGAGTTTTCTCAAATACTATTTGGAAGCAACATCATGGAAAAAAGGACTTTAATCAAAAGCCTTCTTTTAATTTTTCATTTTTAGTAAGGATGGGTCTAGAAAGCCCTGGTAGCCGAGTGGCAGTGATGTGGATGAAGAAACTACTGCAAGGTTGGGTTTTTTTTTCCTCTCTGTTCTCACATTCATCCAATTTCTTTCTTTCTTTCTACACAAATTGTATTTAGAACGTGACCACTTCTAACTAAGACAAACATCTTTGAATGAAGAGTCTAAAAGTCTTTCCAGTTTAAACCCCATCCAGGAAATCCCCCAGGCAGGTGGAATGATGCTATGTGGTCATTAAGAGATATGTGTAAGTCTGCACAGTCAGAGCATGCAAGTGAAGACTCATCTCCAAACCGAGTCTGAGCTGCAGGCCCTTCGTTCTCTCTGACCTGCTTTCTGGTTTAGATGATGAGTGTGAACACTAGATCTCAGGCACCTTCCTCCCATAGAATTTGAGTTTAGATCGAGACTGTCACTTCCAATTAAATTCCAATCTTTGCAAAATCCATTAACTGTGCAGTTCGATTGTGCTTTCCAGGTAGGTGTGTTTGTCTAACACGGAAGCAGAGGGATCCCGGAGACAGTAAAGCTTTCTCATTTCTAAATGGTGGCGTAAAGCCAACCAACTGCTCCCTGCTGGGTGCTAAAAAATGAAAAAGCAAAAAAGACGTGCCCTGCAGGCCAGGAACACAATGCTAATTACTGACAACAGCCCAGACAGGGGTGGTCACTGCATTCCGGGAGGGGAGCGTGTGGACTAGCAGTTGTTAAGGGAGGATTGTAACAGGGAAGCTGAAACAAGGGAGGGAGGATCCTGTAGGGCTTGCTGGTGGGGTCGGAGCAAACATTGAGTCTGGTTTCTGACTTTGAGGAAAAGCGTGCCATGGTGCCTAATGAGGGCGCTGCTCGCTAAACCCCCTCTTGGGAATAGCCCGTTTTCTAAGTTCGGCGGGTCGATGACATTTTGGGATTGCGAAACAGAATGTAGCCCCCACTATTAGAGCCAGCCAGAGCTTCCATCAGGGGAGTCAGTAATTTAGTATTAAATCCCATTGTGGATATTTTTAAACTTAAGAAGCATTGTTACTACTATTGAACTTGGTACATGAAATAGAGGAAAGGGTGTTGCTTGGCTTATTCCACGGAATGTGTTTTCCAGTAGACGTTCTTTGGCGTTCGAAGAGCTTTTGAGACATGTTCATGGTTTCTAGTGGTGACTTCAATGTCCTCTGTTAGTCTAGAAGGCGAAAACCTAAGAACCGGGTTCCTGAATTTCCAATGGAGACCTAGTCAGTGTTTCCAACTTTTCAGGAAGTGAATCAAGACTGAAAAGACATTTGCTTAGCCTTACGATGCGGAGTAGTTGGCTTTCATGATGGGCAGGTCAGCAGCATGGGTAGGCCCCGATTCCCGGGGAACACGGGAACACTACATTCATGTGCGTGGCTTTTACTTCTGGTCGCCTAGGGCAGGCGATGTCTTTCTATCTGATTTTTCTTTGAAGATATTACAACCCTGAGGCATGTTGATCGGTATGTTGTGTGATTCAAACTGAATCGGCTGTTACTGATGCCAATGAGGAATCATCAGTAAACTTCTGGTTACTATCACCTTCTGCAAAAAAAAAAAAAGGGGGGGGTGGTGAATAACATTCAAGAAATACCTTGGAAGGATTAACTAAGAACCGAATGTTCTTTTAGGACCTTAATGCTCTAAAAGAAGTTATTACAACCTATTTATGTTTCTTTACATGCTATCATAGGTAAAATTTGAGGCTGTTAATATTTGGAACGTACATAAGATTACATGTTTTTACAATAGGGATGCAGGCATTCCAAAGTAAATGAAAATACATGCATCTCTCTTGCCTCTTACTGAAAGTATTAATCGAGTTTTATAATAATGCTTACTTTTTAATATGAAGGCTCTGCAAAACAAAACATATTTATTTCTAAGATTTCAGTAGAGCCCAGGTGATGTATTTTTTTAAAGCCTTGCCATTTCCTTTCACCACCTCCACCTACTGTGTCTACCACACCACGTATCACAGGTAATCGCTATGTTTCTATTTTGTTGAGTTGATTTAGAATTCATACCTAGTCGATGTGACTTTTCATAGAGAATAATAACAGGAGGCATTTGCTATTGGCATTAAGATTATACAGCTCTCATTTCACCTTATATTTAAAGTTCATCTTTTATTCTTTTTCAAAGCAAACAATGTGGATTGTTGACATCCTAGAAGTGATTCGCGGGTGGTATTAAGTGGAGCCTGAAACTCTGACATGTAGACTCCTTGTTTGTTTTCTGCAAAGTCTGTGTTCTTATCCTCATCTGACCCCCTGGCTTTTGTGTTGTATTTTTTTATGATTCTGAAATGCTTTGAAGGAAAGATATTTTAATGTGTACAATTTATTTTATTTTCATACTGATCTCTATTTTGTTTAAAACCATGTTGCATCATGAAATCACTTAATCCAAAATAAATCTTCTTTAAAAAAATAGATTATGACTTTTCTGTGATACATTTGGGAAGGAACAACTCGAGGGAAGAAAACAAAGTAGGGATAAAGGTCTCATGGGATTAGGGTGCAGCTTTGTGGATACAGGATGTTTTCTTTTCATGATATTTATAATTAGGAATCTATTTTTTATTCTTAAAGTGACATTTTGCTATTTTATAGGCTATCAATGAATGCTGAGGAAATGAGTTGACATAAATATAATCTCGTTTCTCACATGGACTGAGAC